CGCCAGGCAACCGCCCTGACGCAACGCAGAAAAAACCACGTCCCTTCCAAAGAACTGGGCTGAGGACTCACAGGAGGCGGGAGCCACTGGTCGGGCAGGAGCAGGCGCAGGGGACGGCGAAGGCGACAGCGACAGCGATAGCGCGAAAGCGCGGACGCCTCCCGCGCTTGAAGGTGGGTTTGCGCACTGGGCCGGGAAGAGGGCTGGGGGGCGGCACAGGAGCTGCAGAGGGTCCCAGTGCCCTGAGCTCGCACCCCCGCCCCAGGATTTGCTGCTGCGCTGGGCTGGGCTCTGTCTGTCTCAGCACCCTGCTGGCCTGTGCAGGGCTGAGATTCTGGGTGGACATTTGGGTCCCAAGGGGGCAGCACAGGCTGCCCAGGTCAGCTGTGACCGCCAAGCCCACCTGCGTCCTCCACTCAGGCTCAACCCTGTGGAAGTTCCCGGCCCCAAGACTGCAATTCCCAGTTCAACTGACCCAGGGCACGGGCCCACCCATCGTTGCTCTGGTGGCTGAAGCCAGGTGACAGGAGGGGACCACACGCCCGCAGGCCCTTGGGAAAGGGGGAGTCAGCCAAGCAGCCTGGCACCAGGGTCACCAGGAGGGGGCATGGGAGGGTCTCCTTCAGCCAAGTCAGTGGGCGTGGCGCTTTCCCGGAAACCCCGCAGCACCTGTATCAGCCTTTCCTTGGGTCTTGGTGGGCAGATCTGGAGGTGGGCGGTTCCAGGTGGCCCCTGCTGGTGCCGTCACACCCACAGCAGACTCTCTCGAGTCAAGTCGTACATGCTCCCTATCCTCCCGGAGAATCCCAGATGACCAGATAGGTCCCACAGCACCCGTGTGGTCGTGGCTCTGAAGCAGCTTCCCTTCTGTGCCCCGGAGACAGGCACCCTGCTCGGGAAGGGAACTCCGAGGCGGAGGCACCTGCAGCCTGACTGCCTCCACCGGGTGGGGGCTCCGCCAGGGTGCTTTTCGGGACCTGGCAAAGCAGCGTGCCATTTCTCCGGCGTTTGCGAGCTAAGTGCCTCTGCACTCCCACGCTGCAGGAAACCCTTCAGGTCTGTGGTCTTGTGAGCCTCATGGCCACCTTGCAGGGGACAGTGGCGTGGCTGTGTGGTCAGAGGGAATCAGAACTTAAGCCTTTGGGTGCAGCTCGTGCGGCTGGTGAAAGAGCAGAAATCCACAAGCTGGACTCCCCAGACTCCTGAAGCAGCACTCTCCGGGGAAAGTGGCTATAGGAAAGCCAAGCGGTCCCCTGTCTGTCCAGAGACGGGGAGGTGAGAACTGTGTGCTGGCCTCATCCTGTGACCTGCCGTCTCCAGGGGCGCAGGGGAGCCAGCAAACACTGGTCACTTCCAGAGTCTGGAAGACCACCTGGGCCCGGCTGGCTTCACAGGCTCCTTCTTGTGCCCTGAGACCCCTGCCTGTGCCCTGGCTTCTGTCCCCATCCTCTCAGTTCCATGCGTGGATCTTCCTAAGTGTCCAGTCGCTGCTGCCCTGTCTCCTAGCTTGGCCGCCCTCCGGGAGGGACTTAGATTAATTCCCGTTTTGAGACACGTGCACCCCGGGCCGGGAGGGCACAGCTGGGCTGTCGCTCCCGTGCTGCTGGGTAGATCTTGCTGCTGGGCAACCCCAGTGGCCCAGGGAACACAGGAATCCCTGGCTCCCAAGCTGTGCTACGCCAGGCGACGGTGCTTTATTTGACTGGGACACCGAGCTGCTTGCCATGGCAGAAGGTGACCGGTGGGGATGGGGAGTCCCTCGGGAGTCACCAGGATGGCTCCAAAGGGTGAGCCCCTGGGCTTGCGGGGATGAGAGGAGGGTGGGAACAGCTGAGCAGGCAGGGGCACAGAAGCAGGTAGGATAGGCTGGCAGGGAGGATCTGGCTGGCGCACACCTGGGGAGCCTGGCAAGCCGGCGGTCCCCATGGTGAGCCAGTCACCACGGAGGGCCACTTGCTGGAAGGAGCCGGGAGGACTGCAGGCCTCAGCGATTCCCCAGCTGGGCGAGGTACCCTGTCTGCTGGAGCCCAGCCCACCCTCTCCCCGCCTGTCTCTCCAGAAGAAAGGCGAGACAAGGAGAGGGAGGAACAGCAAGAGGAGTCCGGGCCGCACTGCCCCAGCCCTGTCTGTGCCTTCTTCCTGGGCGTTCATACCCTTGCCTCCATGGGCAGCACAGCTCCTCTGTCCGGCTCTCGCGCAATGAGAAAAGCCCTCTTCTCCAGGCGGCTCCTGCCCTGGGCCCTTGTCAAGCCAGGGCCGCTCTGTGTGGCCCCACACATCGGGAGCTCCTTCCAGTGTCCTTTCCTGCCTGGCCCATCACACGAGGACTCTCCAGAGTCCCCAGCCCATCCCAGCAGTTTGCCACAAGGGGTTCAGCTTCTCTCCGTGAGGCACAGACTGAGCCCCCTCTTCCCCAGCATGGCCAGAAACTCCTTCCCAGGTACCTAGTGCAAATGTGAGGTCTAGCAGTCTCGCCTCCCTCACGGGGCGTGTGTGTTTGGGCACCAGGTGGGCCCAGGTCCAAGCTCATTTTCCAGGTGGGAGAGTTGGCATGTGTAGGACAGACGAGGGCCTCTGTGGTGGCCACAGTCCCCAGGCTTCTGCAAGGCTGGGCAGCACTTCCTCATTCCAGGAAGCCAGCAGTGCCTCTGAGTTGGGCTGGGAACGGCCGCTGGAAGGTCCCAGATGCAGGTCTGTGACCCAGAGGCCACTCAGAGGCTGGTGCTGCCCCACCCACCATCAAGGCAGAAGCGACACTGGATGCCTGGTCCTGAGAGCGACTACTGGGGCTCAGTCCTGGGGACACTGAGACTGCAGGAACTGACTCATGCACACAGCTGGCTGTGCTGTCATCACAGTCATTTTATTCGGTTGGTAGCAGACTCTGAAAACCCAGAGGAAGGTGACAGCAATCCTACTATCAGATTTGAGTGAAAGCAAGCCTGACAGCAAATTCCACACCCAGGTAGGCACATTTGGGCACATTTATCTGCAGATCCAGAGCCTGTCCCAAGGCCCCAGCGAGGTCTCAGCCATCTGTCTCCTGGTGCCCTGAATGCCTCCCCAGGAGGACTCAGCAAGCCCTCTGCTTTCCCCTGTTGGAGCCGAATACCTCTGTCTTCATCAATGCCAGTGCACTCCTAACACTTTGCTAAGTATCAAATGCTTGCTGCTTCTGGGGATCAGACAGGACAGCTGCCCTAGCTGCCGACAGAGTGGGGACTTCCTCGTGGGGGGGGGTCTTCACTTGAACACAGCTGGGTCACAGCCAACCCACTCACACCGCACAGAACACACTGTGTCTGCACAGGATTTCAGAAGCACAGGGCGCTGAGGACACATAGGACGTGGTCCTGCCCTCTAGGAGCACACAGTGTGGCCAGGACTTCTCAGAGTTTATACGGAGAGGGTGGTGTGACAGGAAGGTGACACTCTGCAGCACATGGACAGGCCTCAGGGCACTGTGGTGGCTCCAAAGCCACTTTGCCATGCGACGGGACAAGGACAGCATGGCCAGGCCTGGTCGAGGGCAGGCAGCAGCCGTCCACGCGAGGCAGAACTAAGCACTCATGGACACCTTACTCCTTTGATCCTCCTGGACTTTGAGCTAGCTTCCCCTGTGACCCTGTTTCTGGGTGACGAACCCGAGACCTCGGGCTAGAGTAGGTTGGCCAAGGTCATGGAAGCAGCTTGCATGGTAAGGGAACAGTCACACACTGTCTCTTCTGTCCTGCCTGCAGCCACCCAGGACAAACATTCCCTCCACACCCCAGAGTGTCCACAGTGCCACTCCTGCAGCCAGCTGAAGACCACAGCGCCTGGCTGAGGCCACACTGGACCCCCGCACCCCCAGATAGGCCCTCCTACATTCTGGGAAATACTAAGCCCTCCGGCCCTGATGTCAGCATGCCCGGACCTGCAACTCACACAAGCATGCATGCACCACAGAGCCTCTCAGGAAGTCCTTGTGCAACGGCTGGGCTGGGAACTCGCAGAGTAAAACAGAAAGCAAATGTCAAACAAATCCCACTCCAACTGGAGTTTGTTGATTTTGCTGATTGGAAGTTGGAGCCAATTATCCTGAGGATTTGAAAGGCTCGCTGTCTTGTTTGGGGGCTGAGACAAATGCCACTTGGGTGACTCTCCAGGGGGCTACAGGGCCCTCAGCTGGCAAGCGTCCCTTTTCCTGTAGCCAGGACACCACCCCAAGCTGTGCTCTGCTTTCTTCTTTGCAGATTGTTCTAAAGGCCACTCACTCCATCTGCTTTCGTTGCCCAAATCCCTACTGCCACCGTGGCCTTTTGTCAGAAGAGTCCTGTGGTCACGGGTGGGCTGACTGGGATGAGGACACGCTGCCTGGGCCCGTCCTGGGTGGGGATCCCTGCCTTGTGGTTCTCTGCATTTCCCACAGCCACTTCTGACTCCAAACTGGGTTTGCAGGCACCACGCCTCCTGCCCGCCAGAGCAGCCCTTGCCTGTTCCCACGTACCCCCACCTCTTAGAGCAGCCCTGAGCATTCTCCTCTCCTTTCAGGGAAGCGTAAATTAGGTGTATGGCCCCAGGAGCCTGCGCCTCCCCACTCCCGACTGCCCAACAGGGAAGTGCAAGTCTTTCTTGGTGGATTTTCTCCCTAACTTCTTCATGAAAGGGAAGGCTTGTACGCACAGCCTTCTTGCAGGAGCACCGAGTCTCCTCCGGCATCAGGAGCACGGCACATCAATTATTGAGCGCTGATCTAGCACTTTGAATTTGCAAAGGTCTTAACAAGTATTTGCTGGGATCCTTTCCTAATAATCTGGGCAAGAGGAAGTAAGGTTTCCTGTTTTCTAAACAACAGGAGCAAGGATCAGCTAGGGGTTAAAAGATTTCAGTCCAAGCCCATCCAGCAGCACTAACGGAGATGGGTGACCTGTGCTGGCCACATGATTTCTCTGGGTTTTTGTTTCTCAGCCACATTGTGTGGGAGAAAAAAACAAAAAAAGTAACATGGACAGAGGCAGGAGGGGCTGTGAGAAGCCGCTGTGCTCTCACCAGGCTCTGTCCTTAGCCAGGCTGTGACGCTGGTGGGGTCCTGTGGCTGGGTGATGCTATGTGACACGTGCGTGTGTGAGCCTCTGCCTGCACATGTGAACCTCTGCCATGGTCTGTACCCAGAGCAGCAGGCTGCCTGGACTCTTCGGGCCCAACCACGCTGGCCAAGGTGACACAGAGGACATCCACCGCAGACCCGCCTGGCTGAGAAACAGTGGGGCCTGAGGGGACTAACCCAGGTGTGGCCACTTCTGCATTCCAGAAACTCCGTAGAAGACTATGACACTGCAGATACAATTTTCCAGGTGGTGGCCAGCTCTGACCTGGAGTGTGTTTATGCAAGGTGGCAGTCACTCCGGCTTCTGCCACAGTCGGCCCAGCTGAAGGGCACTAGAAGGCCCACCAGCCTTCCGTGCCAGGCAGTCATGGATCATGGTCACAGTCCAGGAGGTCTCCTTGAGGGAGCCAGTGTCACAGGACAGCACAGAGCAGGGCTCAGCTGCTGTCTGCAGGGTGACAGTTCTCAGAGTATGCTGAACCCGGTTCTATTCCTGTAGACCAGGGAGAGGATACAGCCTGTCCCGGCCCCGCCCAACTGTGCTGGCTCCTCCCCTTCCAGTTCCAATGCTCACCCGGCCCTGTACACTTTGAGTGCCTCTGGGCCAGTTTCCTTGGTCTGTGCCTCAGTTTCCTCCTCTATCTTGGGGTGACCATAGTTTGTAGGTCACAGGTTCCCATGAACATGAATGCCTGGTATGTGTCAGTGCTCCATTAAGTAGGAGTAAGCTTGAGTGTTGTTAAGCTGTCACTCACAGGGAAGTTACCAGGGCAGGATCCAAGTTGTGTTTTAGAAGGTAACTGGCATCATGGCTGGAGGGGTCCTGGTGAGACACACAGGGGCCAGAAAGAAAGGGACAGCACCCACGTTCCTGGGCTCAGGCCCAGGAGCCAGGAGCACAGGACGTGTGGGGTGCGGCAGGAAGTCCACACTGCCAAGAGCCAGCACCACGGCCTGGTGTTTTCCTGGGTGAAGTCGGAATAGGTGAGACATCAGTGTGTGATATCCCTAGAAGGTGACATTATTGTTCTCCTGCCTGTGCTTTGCTAAGGTCCCCATCCTGCTTATGTTCTAAATAGCGCACCTCTTTTCCTGAGCCCCTTGTCAGGCTGGTCATCTCTCCAGTTGTTTGCCCCAGATCCAGGGCACTGCACCCGGGTGGAGAGGGCTGCACGACACAGAAGACAGCCATTTCTGTACCGTGACCCACTGTGGCACAGGGCAATGTGATACCTGCCTGTGGTCAGTGTGAATGAGGACACATATCAGCTGGGAATGAGAGGGACTCCGCACGGTCTCACTTAGAGGGCGACCAGCCACCTTACACCCTGTCATTCCCAGTTGTAGGCCGCAGCCCGCGCACTGAGGGACAGAGGGACATGTGGGAGGGGAGGCCGTCCAGTCTGGTTAGACGGTGTTGGTTCAGGGCTAACACCACCCACCCCAGGCAACCACTGTGAATCCGAGAGGCCTGAGCCCCTGATTGGCCAACCTGAAATTACTCTCACCTGGTCGCCAGGGTCTGGAGGCAGAAAGGAAGGAGGATTTGGTCCTCTGGCCAAAGAGAACAAACCAAAGGGTCCTTAGCCTGCTGTCCCCAACTTGGTTGTTGTTCACTACAACCAGGAAAGCAGGAGGGCTGGTTAAGTGTGGGAGACAGGCAAACAAAAGCCAAGTATCAGTAAATACTCCAGTTTCTTTTGCATCCTTTCTTCAACACAGGCTTCTACCAGGCACAGATGCCAGAACCTAACTCAGAGGAACTTAAGCCCAGGAGAATTTGGAAGCTGTGTAATCAAGGCTGGGTGGGGTGGTTTCCAACCAGGCCTAATTGAGGGCCCCAGACCATCCTGTCTTCGTGGCTTGTGTGCCCTGCCCCAGGGTGGAACAAGGGGGCCCCAATCTCCCAGGCAGCCTGGGAGCAAGGCCAGCTTCTGGTGGGGACTCCCATGAGCCCAGGTGAGTCATGTGACCGGCCGAGGTAGAGGGGATGGGATGTCAGCACCACAGGGAGCAGTAGGGGGCGCTCTTTCCAGAGGGGAGTAGGAGGGTGCTGGCTGGAAATAATCTCCCATATTACTGGAAGGTCCTGTCTGGGTCTGGGATTTGGCACAAGCTGCCAAGTGTGGGGCTGGCACACCTGTGTTCAGGAAGCCTGAGGTCAGGGCAAGGAGAGAAAGCATCCATGAGGACAGGTGGGAGAGGTGGTGCAGGGTCCCTTCCTCTCAAATGCGGGCCTGGCGGGCTGCACTAAGAGGAGGAATTCTGAGCTGCTTGCCCATTCACTCTGTCAGGTTCTCATGTCAGACACATGAGGCGCAAGGCTTGCTTCTCACCCTTGTGAGGACCTCAGTCTCCCCTTCTGAAAAATGGGGAGGAAACTTGCTAATGGAGCCACACATGTGTTAGCACATGGGAACTTTCAGGAGCAGTCCTGGTGTGGTTGCTCTGAGTAATTGCTGAGCCCCCAGAACCCAGCCCTGGCAAATCAAGGAAAGTGTCCAGAAGGAGATGATCCCGGAGGCTGAAGGGACACAGTCTCGGGGTCTGAGCCAGTGCAGAACCAGAGGGCCTGGGAGTTGGCAGGGGTTACAAATCCTGTGTATTATGTAGAAGAAATGAATAGCTCTTGAAGAGTCCAAGATGAGAAAGCACAGACAAGAGCCCAGGCGGGGAAGAGGAGGAGAGTTTGCCAGCAGCCCCTGGGCTGTGGGCGTGCAGGTCTCCAGACGAGCATGTTAGGTCATCACAAGAGGAGGTGTGGGCTGCTTCCTTCCCAGCCGGGGAATTAGCTCATGGCTGGCAAAGCCAGGGGACGTGTTTGAACGGCAGGGTGCAGCGTGGGCCCTGGGCCCTGGCATCCCTGAGGCATCGTCCCGCTGCTGAGTGGCCTTCTGGCGGGCTCCCCTAGGCCTGGAGGGATTGATTACCAGTTGCCGCTTGTTTTCTGGAGGCCCCTGGCTCCAGCCTTGGCTTCAGCCTTAGTCTCTGCTCCCTGACCCTGGTTAAATGACCAGCACACTTGTCCCAAATGGTAGATGGTTCTTCCTCCCTGGGGCCAGACCCAGCAGTCCCCTGCTGTCATGCCCATCTGACAGGCTGTGTAGGGCTGGTCTCTGTCCCCAGCACCTGGGTGGCACCTCTCCGCCAGCTCAGGAGGCATCCATCTCAGTACCCAGAGTGGCCAGAGGCTGGTGGACCTTCTTACTGGCACCTCCCTGGCCTGAGAGGGTGATGTTCCAGCTCAGCTCCTACACTCAGCTAGAAAGGAGGCAGGGAAGCCCTCCGGGCCTCTTCAGCCACCAAGACACCAAGGGGTGGCAGTCCTGGGACAGTGCCTCGTGACCAGGAGAGGGGAGCCTGTTTCAGCAGGTCCTCATCATGCAAGTGTGCTGGGGGTGGCAGGAGGCCAGAAAGCTGGGCCCAGCGGAGGAAATTGAGCCCTGGGCTTGTTGGCAGTAGTGTGGGGACCAGAATCAGGGCTGAGCCTGGCCTTAGCTTCCAGTGTGGACAGAAGTTAGACCGGGCTCCTCCCAGCACCCTCGGCTTGGGAGAGAGGAATGGGCCGCTGGCTCAGTGAGCAGGGCTGCTCCCTTATGAGGCCGACCTGCTCTTGACAGAGATCTTTCAGGCCATTGAGATCCAAGACCTTGGAGGAGAGGGGTCAAACACCTGTGTGGGTTGGCTTCCAGGGAACGATGCCAGAGCAGGGACCAGCTCCGCCCCCAGGCAGGTCAAGGTCCACCCAGATGCCCGTGCGGTAGAAGGACGAGGGTGACGTGGCTATGAGGTGGCACTGTCTCGGGCAGTGATGGTGCACCTTTCAGAGCTTTCAGAGATAACGAACATTGCACCCTAGCATGGGTGCCATAGGTTCGCCACTGCTGGTCGAGGGCTCATTGTAGGCCAGCATTGCTGACAGTTGTTTGTCTCCCTGTCTAATCCGAGGACTCAGGAAGTCAAGATTATCCCAGGGCTTCAGGGGTGGGAGACCCAGGCATCGAAGGGCACAGGGACACTCTTGTGGGTTATTCTCTGTTGTCACCATCCCGAAATTCTTAGGACTTTTCTTTGTACTGGGGATTAAACTCAGGGCCTTCATGTTCGTGCTAAGCTGTATCCCCAGTCCTTTTTCAATTTCTTATTTTGAGACAGGGTCTTGCTAAGTTGCCCCAGCTGGGCTATAACTTGCACTCTTCCTGCTTCAGCCTCCCAGAGTGTGGAGCTTATAGCTGTGTCCCACCATAGCTGATGACAACTTCTCTTTCTTATTCTCCTTCCTCCTTTCCTTCTCCTTCCTCTTCTCCTCCTCCTCATCTGTAGTCTTCTTCAACAAGGAGCTCAGAATTTGCATTTTGCCCTTTCCAGCAGGAGCTGCTCCCACCCTGGCACTGGGGTGGCTGCCCTAGGGGTCGAAAGAGGCTGACCAGAGTCACGCAGTGCTGTCCCCGGGCCCTTACTCCCCATCTCCAAGCCCCCGCCTGCCTCTGAGACTGGAGTGAGCTTGGTGAACACGCCAGAGGAAGGGCTGCTCCTCGGCCGACTCAGCTCACTGGCTCCTGTTCCCAGGGCCTCTCGGAAAGGCTGCAGAAGCTGCTAATTAGAACCCACACCGGGGGAAGGTCGCAGAGTCCCAGGGTTTCCCGCGCCCTGGGAGGAGAGTCTGACCTCGCCGCGTGGAACAGTGCCCCCTGCAGGGGAGGAAGGGCGAGGCTTCCGTAGGTTCTCTGCCTGTCACTCGCTGCGACGCTCCCTGAAACTGCGGGCTGGAACATGAGACCCCACCCCGGGGGGTGGGTTCAGCTACCCCAGGGGCAACCCGAAAGGACCTGACACCTCAGCAGAGAGCCAGATAAGCAGTGGGCACCCGGGAGCCTCGGAAGAGCTTCTAATAAAGCTGCGTAGGACCTGAGATTCAGGCAGCACGGATGAATCCTGTCCTGCCAATCTCCGAGAGCCTCAGAGGTTGGCAGTATCACCCCCTCTTCCCAGATGTGTAAACTGAGGTTCAGCAAGCCGAACGGGGCCCAGAGCTAGGGTGTGATCCCAGCCGTCCTCAGCCCTGGATGCTCATGTGGATCTCAGAGAAGTGTCACTGTGGCGGGACCCAAGGAGTCAGAGGCCCCGGGAGCCCGGCTCTGCTGCTGCTGGAGCCCTTGGCACAGGGATTTCTCTTAAACACGTGCAGGTCTACAAACATCGTCCCCTCCTCCCTCCCTTTTTCCACAGGGTGGAGGCCCCATCAGGCTGCTGAGCACCTGGCCCTTTCATTTACGCCTTATCTGGGGTACTGTTCCACGACAGCCCATTCTTGTTTACAGATGCGTTCCCTCCACACAGATCTGTGAAGCCAACTCTGAAAGCCAAGGTCCACTCATGCGTCTCCTACTTCCCACCCCGACTCGAGCAGTCCCGGAGACACAAGGACCTCCAGACGGGAGAGTCCCACCTAATTCTGACTCGGGGTTCTTTTCTCCCTCTGTCACGAGGGGGTGAGGTGAAGTGGGTTTATGCCCCTTCCAGGCACGGGAGGCGGCTCGGATCGCAGCTGGGGCCCTCGAGGGAAGGCTGCGGCGTGGGCACCTGGAGGACGTGAGAGCCAGCTGCGCAGAAGGGTGAGTCACGAGAGGCCCTTGTCTGACATCCAGCTCCTGCCTCCGCAGCCGCAGGTGCTTCGTTCCTCCTCTGAAGAGGTGAGGTCAGGTGTTGTTGCTGGAGGAGGAAGCTGAGTGGGGAGGAGGGCTGGTGGGTGGGGTCCCGGAGGCAGGGCGCCTGGGCGAGAAGACACACCTGAGCCTGCAGCCCGGCCGCTTGGCCAGCTGGCTCCTGGACCCTCGGGGTGAGCTGAGCTTGTCCCCTGCTACTTGCTGGGAGATCTGTCTCGGTGAGTCACTTAGTCTTTGGGACTCCAGTTCCTCAAGTATAAAATGGGGATGAGAATAAATCTCTACAGACTTCCTGTAAGCATTAGGTAATGGGGTGGAATCGCTTTAGAAATGATAAAACATGACCTAATCCTAGCATTCGCGTCTCTTCTTTGAGTTACAGTGGTGAGATGGTCTCCCTTCTAGCCCTCTTGAAGACCTCTCTGAGCCTCAGTTTCTCCTCCTGGGGAGTGGACATGTCTGCCTCAGAGGGCTGGGGGCAGAATGAGGACTGAGGGTTCCTGTTCTTTCTGCAGGGCCCTGCACTGCCTGTCCTGCCTGCTGGGCCCGGATCTCTGCTCACCCCCAGGACGGGGAGATCTTGGCAGAGGCTTCCACGCAGATTCCTGCTGTCTTGTCTGTTCCTGCCTCTGCCCAGCATGGCACCCACAGGATTCCAGGACTAATCCTAGACGCTGGGCCCCACAGCCACTCCGAGAGGACTCCTGGGACTGATTCCCACGGGCTCTCAGTTCTGGGTGCCCCCGCTACAGCTGGATGAGGCCCCTCCAGGGCAGGACCCACGCTTGCTCCCTGCCCAGCCTCTCCTACTGCTCGCTGCGCACCCCCATGACCGGCTGCCCGGACGGACTCTAAAATGTCTGTGCCCCAGATCCAAGTAGAAGAAGTGGGTGAGGAAGCGGGGCCGGCAGGAGCAGCCGCCCCTTCCGACGACCACCTCCGCAGCCTGAAGGCCCTCACCGAGAAGCTGAGGCTGGAGACGCGCAGGCCCTCCTACCTGGAATGGCAGGCCCGGCTGGAGGAGCAGACGTGGCCCTTCCCCAGGCCAGCTGCCGAGGAGGCCAACCTGGAGCAGGCAGAGTGTGAGTGGGTGAGGAAGCGGGGCCGGCAGGAGCAGCCGCCCCTTCCGACGACCACCTCCGCAGCCTGAAGGCCCTCACCGAGAAGCTGAGGCTGGAGACGCGCAGGCCCTCCTACCTGGAATGGCAGGCCCGGCTGGAGGAGCAGACGTGGCCCTTCCCCAGGCCAGCTGCCGAGGAGGCCAACCTGGAGCAGGCAGAGTGTGTGGCCGGGGAGCCGCCGCTGGCCCCAAGAGAGGCTGGAGAGCATCTGCCACCTCCCAGGAGCGCCCGGAGCGCCAGCCAGGGTGATGGGCCGCTGTCCACTGGCAAGCTGGAAGGCTTCCAGAGCATCGACGAGGCGCTCACCTGGCTCAGGAAGGAACTGGTGAGTGACCGTCCCGTGAGGCCCGGTCTGTCTGCCTGCTCCGTGTGCATCGTCCCGGCCCCCACACCCCCTACACACACCACACATGTGTAATTGTCCTGCGAGACGCTGGGCAGAGCTGTCTGCCTGCTTTGGGACCCAGTGTCACTCAGTGCCTAATCGCAGGTGTGGAGGATGCATGTGTGGTTGCCTTGAGACCCCAGGCTCATGTCAGGGCCCCACACCCTCCCTGACCAGCGAGCCGGAAGGAAAGAGTGTGAGCAAAGGGCAGACTGTTTGAGCTGGGATGAACAGGTTGACCCTTTTCCTGCCCATGGGCAAAGCAGATTCCCACCAGGACCATCTCACCGTGTAGCTCATCTCAGCCTGAGCACCCCGTCCTTGCACGCCCCCTGCCCAGAGAATCTCCAGTCCCGGGACCCAGGAGTCCAGGACAGGCTGCCCTCTGGAGCCAGGAGCAACTCTCGGGGCAGCAGGGCAGGCAGAGATCCATTTGGTTGGTTTTGTAGAATCCTGAAAAACAAATCCCCATTGAGGCCAGGGATTTCTGAAGCTGAGTTTGGGGTGGGAAGGGTCTCGGGTGTCTGATGAATTGGAAACCTGTCTTGGTTTTGATCCTTGATGCTGAGAAGCTTCCCAAGAACACCGCTGGGTGTGTTGCTGGTGACTGTACGTGCTCCTGTCTCTGGACAGAGCCATTGGGTGCCTGTGGGGATGTGGACAGGCTGTTCCCGAGACAGACTCTGAAAGCTGATCTTTGAATTCCTCAAGCTAAGCTGACTTGTTCTATTTTCATAAAAAAAAAAAAAAAAAGAACAAAAAATATTGCCCTTCATTGAGGACACGTGTTGTTTTCGGGTTCGTGTGAGATTGTATTGTTTCTGGGAGAAGAAGCATTTACTTTCTAAATAAGTTCCCATTCTGGGTGGGCCCCCTCTGGTGTGAGGGATGAGAAGGCATACTGCCCCGGGGCTGTCCGTCATCCTGCGTGGACGGAGTGTGCCCTGCGGCCAACCCCAGCTCTGTGTTACCATGACGAGACCTTTCCAAACTTCCAAAGCCTTTGCCACACCCCAGGCCAATCAAATGAGCATCTGGGGACGGCTCCCCATATCTGTAGCTCTTGAAGCACCCCCTGAGCTTCCAGTATCAGCTGGCAGGGCAGGAAGTGGACCAGGTGCCAGGAGAAGCCTCGGGAGTGTGGACCCCAGAGGCCACCAGCACAGCGTTCATCGTCAGCATTGATTTGGTTGCCAAGGGCTGTCTGTCACGGGCAGAGGGAACCTTAGCGTGCTTTCTGCTTACATAACATTGTCTTCCCTTTCCAGCCGCGTCTCGGTGCTATCAGGAGTGGGTAGGAACAGTAAGTCTGATGACAGTGAGCACAGTACTTGCATCAGTCATGTGACCACCCCGCTGTACCCCGGCTCAGAGAGGCCTTAGCAGTAAGAAAGGAGTTACCACCAGGACCCCAGCCTGCTGGATTCTCTTCTGACCGCTGTAGCATGCATCATCCTCCCAAGGGAATCAGTTTTCCTGACAATACGAGTTCTCAAAGACATCAGCCGCGAGCAGAATGCAGGAGGCAGGGAGAGGGAGAGCAGCAAGACTGAGTGAGAGTCCCAGCCTCCCTTGTGTTCTCTCTTTGGTCCTTACAACAGCTCGGGGTGCTTGTTCTTCTTGCCTCCGTCTTACGGCTGAGTAAGCCGAGGCTCCTGCTGGCAGCCCCATCAGGTGCTGTGACAAGGAAATGGCAGGGCCAGGGCTCAAAGCAGCCTTCTCCAGGGCAGCAGAGAGCTGTGGGGAGTGGCAGCACTGCCGGGGACCTGGGGGGAGAGGCTGAAAGAGAAGAGACCCCCCAACTCCAAAGTGTGTACAGATCTCCTGGGTCTCTGGATAAAAATGAAGATCCAGATCTGCAGGTCTGGATTAGGGCCCATGATTCAGAACTTTTAACAGGCCCTAAATTGTCCAGGTTGGGCTCAAACTTGTGACCTTCCTGCCTCTACCTTCCCATGTACTGGGATTACAATCACCTACCACCACACCTGGCTTCTGCTGTTTTTCAGTCCCTTTCAAAACCAAGCTTCATGCTGTTGTTTCTCTAACTCACCCTCTGTGAACCAGAAAAGGTGCCTCAAAAGAAATTGTTCTGTGTACCAGGCAGTCTCTCCCTAGTGATCCAACGATCGGGCTTATGTGGGAATTTGTCCTCTCTCCCTGTGGTCAACGAAACCAATCACAGCCCTGTGATTCTGTGGGTTGTGTGGGGTGTCGACCCCGGGAGTGGGCAGGTCTACCCTGCTCTCTGACTAGCAGTCAGTGGACACTGGGAGGTGGCTGTCAGCCTTGCCCCATCAGAGGCAGGTGGTGCTGGGTCTGGAAGCATCGTCCTCTGTCCTGCCGCCTCTGCCTGATGGACCATTTGTTTCCATGGTGAACAAGGGCCGCAGGGCTGCCCCAGCCTCTCCTCCTGACCTCTCACCAAAGAGAAATGACAGCTGCTCCAACACCCCTGGGGACCTGCAAGAGGAGTAGCTTTCCCTGTGCCAAAGCCCTGGAAACAGAAAGGAGAGGGCCTCTGCACAAGGTGACTGCAGGCTGCTCCTGTGACATCACTCAGGGGCTAGGGTCACGGGAGGTCACAGTCACCAGCTCTGCCCCTTCCAAGGGCCCAGGGCCTTGAGTGAGAGAAGCGCTGGGGAAGCAGAGAGGAGGGAAAGGAGCCATCAACTCTTCCCTCCAGTGGAGCACAGAATCTAGAAGATTTTGCAAACGCCCCTGACCCACTTTGGGCAGGGACCCTCCTCCCTGCCTTGTCTCTCAGCCTCACACATTCCTTTGCTGATCAGGGAGGTAAAGGACAGACACAGGAAAGTCTTCTGCTCGGCCTGTGGTGGCAGAGCTGAAAACAACACATCGGGCTTCCTAACGTGCGGTCTGTGTAGTGAGACTCCCTGGGCACCAGCAGACGTTTTTCTTGTAATTTCATGCAGGTGTTTGATCCCCGCAGACGCAAATGGAGTCCCCAGGAAGGTGTTTATAGCTGTTAGAAAAAGGGAAGGGAAAGCTGACAGGTTTAAACCAGCCAGGGCTTGCATGGTGGAGGCCGGGAGATGGGCTCAGCAGGCGCCTGTGGCTGCGGCTCAGCTTGATGGTCGCGGCAGTGCTCCTCTGGCCGTGCCCTTGTCCTGCTGCTGTGGCGAGCACATGGCCAGAACTGTCCATACCTGCTGCTTGGCCTGGCCGAGTGACGGCCATCCTCCTCTGTGACAGGGATAGAGGCAGGAATAGGCCGTGGTCCTATCTTCCCGGTAAGGAGCACGTTATGGTCCTGAAGCACCGTGACACACAGCATCTTCCGGGGGGCTCAGAAGCGTTTGCTGTTGCCCGTGTACAAATGGGATGGAAGTGTAGGTTCAGAGGTCTGAAGGACAGAGCGGGGAGTGACTTGTCCGGGCCATTTGCCAGGGGCAGCCAAACCGAGATGAGCCGGCACCCCAGGTCTGGCTCCAGGCCGCCTTCCTGTTCCTGGATCCACTGGTCCAGACACATCAAGTGTCCAAGTCGGCAAGCGGTCACACACCCGCATTTCACCCTGCTGATTTGCCGGGAGTCCAGGCATTGCGATTCATGGCAGCGCTGAGCAGGGACCAGGCCCACTTCTGGGTGAGGACGTTGTGGTGCTCAGAGCTGCCAGCAAGGGGCTGGCTGAGTAGGGACTGACTCGCAGGAGGGACCCAGCCAGGTACCCTTTGCCATAGCAGCGCCTGGAGCCGGTCACACAAGCCGCCCTGGGATGGGGATTCCTTCCTTCTGTGCCCTGGGCAGATACCGGTGTGCCAGGGTCATTTTTCAGTAAAGGCACCAGCAAAAGAAGAAGCTCCGACATCAGGGATCTTTATTTCTGAACGCTGCTATCTTCTTTCTATGTTTCTGTAATTCCAGAAATTTCCAAAATAGGAATAAATCACATACATGGGGCACAACCACAAAATACGGTGAGTGTTTAAGTTTTGAAAAATGGCTACATGGACGCACTGCTTTGTGGCTAATCCCGCCCCAGGCCCTCCCCTGCCCTCCGCACGCTCAGCCCGCCATTCCTGCCACGTCCAGAAGCAGTTCACAAGTTACGTTTGCAGCAGTAGCGTCCCCACTTTATTCACCAACACGGCACCGCGTGACTCTGGCTCTTCCCCAAAGTCGAAATGACCATGAGGGCAGCATTTTGAACCAGTTCGGGACATGGAAGCAGCCACTGCAGAGCAACTAATGACATTCTCTAGAGAGGAACTTTTTTTTTTTTGAGGGGGAAGAGGATTAACAGCTATGTATCTCTTACTGCAATATTTTTAAAAATTTAAACAATCACTGTATTTTTTAAACCACACTTTCTATTCAAAGAAGGAAAGATTATGAAAATAAAAGACCAAAGAAAGGAAAGGCAAGTATGCAGCTCCTGTCTGTCTTGCCAGCATGCTGGGGCCGCATACCTCATCTGTAGTAAAACAGCTTAAAAACAGCATAGATTCTCCTAGAAGAAGATAAGGGGAACAGTGCCTTGCTTCCTCCCTAAAAATGCCCACGAGCTGACCGTGGGCAGTGCAGACCCAGCGGGTGAGCCCATCCCATCCAGAACTCTGCTCCCCTTCCTTTTCTGTCCTCACTGCGATGACTCCAAGAGCAAGCTGGAGCTCAGCAGTGGCATGGGAGCGCCCACCTGAGCGATCGCCCGGGAGCTCTCCAGCAGCTGGCCTGGCTGCTGGGCGCTGTGGGCGGGGAAAGCATCCAATGTGGAATAGCATAATCGGATTAGACCCAAGTCAGGTTCTGCCACACCCCAGCGGGCGGCTTTGGGAAAGCCAATTAGCCTAATCGCCCTGTTTTGTCATGGTAAAGTGGGGGCAATCATCCCTGCCTGTGTGTTGATTTGGCCCCTCTCTCAGAAGGTTGCTCCTGATTCTAACGCCCTCCCTTCAGAAGGGACTGCTTCACCCAAGGTGTGTTCCCAGGCGGGACAGTCCCTTTCTGACATATAGCATTAGAGCAAAACGACCTTCTGTGAACTTTTTTATGGGCTACAGTGGTATAGTTCATGTGTGCGGTGTGTTACGGTCAAATCAAGGTAATTAGCATTTCTGTCTCCTCAATTGTTATCAGTTTTGTTTATTGGAAACCTTCAAACTCTTGGCTCTAGACGTTGTGAAGTGAGTAATAAATTGTAGACTAAACCAGTCTCGGCGCTCAACAGACTGAGGCTGAAGGATTGCCGTGAGTTCGAGGCCAGCCTGGGCTATAGAGTGAGACCCTATCTCAACATAAATGAATGAATCGTAGGCTGTGGATCCCCTACTGTGCTATGGAGCATTAGTGCTAATTCCTCCCACCTGTGTATTCTGACACTCATTATCCAGCCTCTTTGTCCCCTGCCGGGTAATCTTCCTAGCTCCTAGTGACCTCTGTTCTCACTACTTCCCTGAAATAGCATTTTTTAGCTTTCACAAATAAGTGAGAATTTATGGTATTTGTCCGCTGTGCCTGGCTACCTCACCTGACAATGTCCTCTGTCTGGTTCCATCCATGCCGACACAAATGACAAGATTTCTCCCTTTTTATGGCTGCATAATACCCCATTGTGTGCATACATCACGATATTTAATCCATGCACCTGTTCATGGGTGTTGCGGTTGGTTCCCTGCCATGGCTTTTGTGCACAGTGCTGCAGTAAACATGGGGAGGCAGGGTAATTGTGTCATGACTTTGTTTCCTTTGGAGATAGAGTAATGGTTCGCCCTCATCTGCCCTTGTGCACAGAGCTCTCCCTTCTCTGCATCCTCTGCAGCCCCTGCTACTCCTATCTGCATGGTGAGCGAGATGCCCCCTTGTGTTTGGGCCTGCATCCTGGCGGTGCCTAGTGGTGGTGACCATGGCTCCCCCAGCTTGCTGTCCCCTCCTGCATCTTCTTTTGAGAAATGTCCATTCAGGTCCTCGCCTGGCCAGCGGAGCTGGTTTCCAGCAGCCCCGCCCCAGTACAGTGTCCAGGCCCTTCACACCCACGGTGCACCATGATGAGGCAGGAGCAAGGCCCTGTGTGCCCTCCCTGCAAAGGGCTCCTACCTGCCACGGCTGTCATCTCATGGGGCCGCCCTGGGCCGGAAGTCAGCAGCCCTGGGGCAGATCCAGGCCCTGCATGGCACCTCCCCAGATGGAGGAGTCCTCTGGCAGCTCCTTCCTGCCCCCAGATACTCCGCGGACAGAGCCAGCACCCCTCTCTGCCACCCACCCAACTCCTGCCACTGGGCCCTGAAGCTGGTCCGCGGCTCTCCTGAAGTTGGCTCACAGACCTGTTTTGGCTTCTGGGGACCTTTGAGCTGCTCCTCTGTACATTTTCCCAGCACCTCCGGTTTCCACACAGCAGCATACTCACCGCCCCACCTTCCTTCTGCTTCCCACGTGAATCTGGGTAGAGTGGACTTCTGGGGGAGTGGAGTAGCCACTGAGCCAGGTTACCAATCCCTGCGCCGGGATCCTCACCCCATCCCGAGAAAAAGTGTCACATGTCACACAAGGAGGAGCCAGCCAGGTCTCGTGCCAGTCTCTGTCTCTCAGGCTGGGGGAGGGGGTATGAGCCCCAGAAACTGGGCCTACACACAATGCCCTTCTCCCTGGGCTTCTCTGTGCCGAGCCTGCTGAGTCCCCACCCCCTGGCCACCCGCTCGACTTTCTGTCTCTATGAACGGACCATTCTAGCTACTTCCTGTGAGTGGGATCACGCAGTATTCATCCTTCTGTGATGGGCTTATGTCCCTTAGCATAATGTTTTCAAGGTTCACCCACGCTGTGGTGTGTATCAGGATTTCCTCCTTTTCAAGGCTGAGTGCTATTCCAGCAGGTGAACAGACCACATGTATTTATCTGTTCAGCAGTCAGTGGCTGCTGTGCTGCTTCCACCCTCATGCTGTTGGGAATAAGGCTGCTGTGGACATGGGGTACATGGCTCTGTTGGAGTCCTGCCTGTTCTTCGTTTGGGGTTTGTCCCCCTCTTTCCAGCTGACTCTGCTGGGTCTTCAAGCCTCAGTGGCCCTCTGACCTGCTGGATTCACTGGCCCTTCAAAAAGAGCCGCTCTCTCTCCCCAGGTGCCCCCTGCGGGCGGCTGTGTTTTACAGCTGCTCTCCCTCTGCTGCTCAGACCTGAAATTCTCCAAAGATCCTGAAGGATCTTTTCAGACTAAAGAGTCAACTCCTGCAGCCAAAATTCAAATCTAAGCCACAGGGCTCCTCACCTTTCAATGAGGTCTGTCTTTGGATGACAGTGCCCCAAGAGAGGCAGAACCAGCCAAGCTCCTAGAGGCCAAGACAGTGGGCAAAAGCAGGCACCATCTTCAGACGGAGTTGACCCCGGTCTCTTTCACAAGGCCTTGGGCAACACCCAGCCTGGTGCCAGGCACTGTTAGGTGCTCCATAGAAAGCAAATGAACATCCAGCCACACCCTGGCAGTCCATCGTCCTCAACATGGCACTACACCAGGATTTCTGATTGGCACTGAATCTGATTTGCAAAGCCCAGAGATAAAAGAGTAAATCGGTACCGTGGGACTACGGACTTTCAGCCCCATTTTACCATTAAACACATTGCTAACCCACCAGCAAAGCTTTGATCTCAGTTTTTCTCATTTATGAAATCAGGATAAAGATCTGTAAAGTACATCAATGAGAGAGAAACATTGAAATGCTTACTGTTGGTGTCCCTGATTTGTTTTTAACCCGGCAGAGACTACATGCAAAGCTGACGAGGGGAAAGTGAGACATTTGCATAACCACAGGGAGGGTCCCTCTGGAATCTGTTGGTTCATTTAGCTCTGAGAGCCAGGTGAAGCACAAGGACACAAAAATACAAAACAGTCACCACCTGCAAGTGTAGGAAATATAAATGGTGGGAAGGAATCAGGTCTCGATTTGAGCAGGAGCAGCAGGCAGGCCGTCTCGGTGACCGTGTTGTTAATGGAAAGCATGCTCCGCCTGGTGAAATGGTGACTCTGGTCCCACTGTGCCGGTCGCAGAGGGAGACCCATGCTAAAGCTTCTGCACCCCACATCCCAACTGTGAGAGACAGATCCCAATGCCCTGCTGGTGTCGCCAGCCACCAGCTCCTTGCTTTAGTAGAAATGGAAATTAAAACTACAGCTCAAACCGGCATGGGAAAAGCTTTCTGTGGGAAGTTAGAAGAGTAATAGGAAAGGATTCCAGCTCCCATGTAGGGGTTCAGATCAGCCCAGTCACAAAGGCAGGAGGCCAGATTTCAGGGAGTCTCTGGTCATCGTGTTAACCTTGGCATCACAGGGCGGCATAGCTGAGGGGTGGCTCTGCCCCTCATGGTTCTGTCCGTAGGGATCTTGGTCTTATGGGCTGTGCCTTTCCTGGCATCCCAGTGTCTTAGTCATTCGGACTGCTGCTGAGATACAATACCCAACGCCCAAAATTTAAATGAGTGGAGGTTTATTTTGGCTCACAATTTTTGCTCATAGTTGACGAGCTCCAGGATAAAGCGGCACAGCAGAGCAGCAGTGCGGAGGAAAAGCTGCTCACCTCATGGCAGCCAGGAAGCAGAGAGCAAAGAGGAGAGCTTGGGGGCAGATGTGCCCTTCCAGGTCAAGTCCCTAGGGACTGCCTCTTCTGACCAGACCCCGCCTCCCAAAAGCAGGCCAGGGATATCGCCTCAGAATTCAGTTAATGTACAAAGCCCCACCCTGAGCACGTGGTCTTGGGGGGACGTTCTCGATCTAAACCATAAACCAGGCGATCACAGCTTTAGGACAATGTCTGGTGACTTCTGGGTGCAGTTGAACATTCCTTAAACCACTTATCTTGGGATTCTTGGTCTTGAAGGGGGCTGAGACCATGTAAACTCAGGGCTCATCAACCCCAACTGGCCACCTCTGGGAAGGACACTCCCTGAGAGATCAACATACCCCTCGGCAGAGCTGAGAAGAGACTTGGGGGCAACGTTGAGCATCACAAGAGCTGCAAAGTGAAGGTCAAGCTCTGCTCTGCCTTTAGTTACTTACTGGCCCTCTGTAGACCCCAGTGAGAAGTCAGGTTTCATAGCAAAAATGGCTTTCAAGTCTGTGATGTCCCACAAGAAAACACAAATCACGTTTTCCATGAGTAGCAGGTGAGGGCTGGGGATTCTGCCTGTTCTCTCTCGCTGTGGCGGTCCCTGACTGTGTAATGAGGATCTCAGGAGGTGACCGTGAAGGTTCCCAAGGTGCAGTTCATGAATGGATTTTGGGAACTGCAGTGGAAGAGTTCTCATACCCCTTCCTCGTCAGGAAGCCCTGAGGCCCTAACAACACTGAGCTGAAGCTGGCTCCAGGCTCCCCGCTGCTCTAGCTCCACCGAAGAGGCAGAACTTGGCCGTCAGCCATTTGGGTCCTGAGTCGGACTCTCTGGGTTCCCAACCCGGCTCTGCCACACAGGGGGGTGACAGGATTTCTTTGCTGTGCCTCCAACTCCTCCTCTGTGACCTGTGGGTGACAAGGGCAACTATGTCAACATTGCAGTTGACACCCTGACACCCTCCCCATCACCTCCCCTCCTCCCACAGAGGAGCTGAGTGCTGGAGTTGATAGTGGTCATTCTCACCCTTTCCTGGTCCTCTACCTCCATCTAGAAATCTCTAAAGAGCAGGAATGAACCAGAAGCACCTTCAAGCCCAGCCACCTGGCACCTCACTCAGGAAAGGACTTAGAGCTAGTAGCTGGTGTGGCTAGCTACTTGCAGGGTGAGCATAACCTCAATTGTCACCACCCCAGGGTGTCTGAATCTTCATCTCTAAGTTGGGAAGGTGCTCATGTGTTCAGGTAGACCAGTAGGTCGAAATTATCAGAGAGGCCTCCCATTACCAGGTCTGGCTCTCCTGGGGCCTGGCCACCTCTGCTGACTCCTCCTCCCCTCCTCCAGGCAGAGATGAGGCTGCAGGACCAGCAGCTGGCCAGGCAGCTCATGCGCCTGCGCAGCGACATCAACAAGCTGAAGATCGAGCAGACCTGCCGCCTGCACAGGAGGATGCTGAACGATGCCACCTATGAGCTGGAGGAACGGGACGAGCTGTCCGACCTCTTCTGCGACTCGCCCCTGGCCTCCGCCTTCAGCCTGTCCACTCCGCTCAGGCTCATTGGCGTCACCAAGATGAACATCAATTCGCGGAGGTTCTCCCTCTGCTGAGGGGCTGGGGTGGCAACAGGGTCCCCCGTGACCATCTCCTCTCTCCCTCAGTGGCCCATGGCCCTGAGTGCTGGAGTCTCTGGTGCTGTGAATTGGGGTCCCACGTGGGGCCCCAGGACTTTATCCTCACAGGAGGCTCCCAGGGGGTGTGGGAGATGGGAATGGGGGAACCGGACACTCATCCTGAGCCGTGGCCACCCAAGTTCCAGCTCTGATGGAGACCCACCAGGCCCAGAACCCCAAAGAGCGACAGAGTGGCTCTTCGGCCAGCAGCTGGCTCTGTCCGGGCTCCTGGCAGGCGTGGGGCTGGGCACTGTGTGTCCCCGACATGGGATGAGCACACACTACCTAGCTTGTCGCTCCCCTGGCCACGTGTGTCAGTCAGAGCCACCAAGGACCCCCCACACACACTGTCACCCACGTCTGCCAGGAGCACCTGGCAGGCTGGGAACTGATTTCCCATTGCCAAATTCTCCACAACAGGCACGGCTCTGAGACTGTCACCCAAAACACCCCCTTGTCCCCACTGGAGACACCATCCAGGGAGCCCAGAAGCCACCTCTGAGGATGTGCCTGACCTAAACAGCTTTTCTAAGACTATCACTCTGTGGTGCATTAATAGCTGTCTGGTCCTCATCCAAACAGGGCAGCCAGTGAGAGGGTCAAGCAGAGGCTGGGGCTAGGCTCTGAGTCCCCAGTGTCAGTTGCTGGTCCCGTCCGCCACCACATGGTGCCTGGTGTGACCCCGAGGTCAGGAGTCCCCCAGACTCTGAGGCCTAATGGAGCCCTCTCGCTAACCAAGTGAAGCCTGGGTGGGAGGTGCCTGGCTTGGTGCTGTAGAATCTGAAGGGTGAAGTCCTTGTAAGACCCCCACAGATCACACATCAATGAGCATGAACCCCAAAGATGACCCGATGCTCCGCCACGTCCACAGCCAGCCAGCCCCTCTCTTCTCCACCCTCCTCGGCCCCACCCATCCCTCCGCTGTGCTATCCAGAGGGCCTGGCTGATGCAGGGTGGTGACCCACGGGCGTGCATGCCCTCGTCCCATAGTCTCACCAGGCCAACTGCACCCCATGGGCCTCGTTTCTTCCCTGCCATGGTTTCTGTGGGCCCACCTGGGGAAGAGCTGGTTTTGGGGGCCAAGGGTTGGAAGATGCAGATGAATGGTCCCAAATAGCCAGCAGAGAGCATGGTTATCTTCATGGTGATCGCAAAGAGCCAGAAAGTTTGCACTTCTGTCAAAGAAGGTAGAATAACAGAGCCAGGATTTTTAGTCACCCGGAAGTCCCAGGACTCATCTGAGATCCCGTCTGAGAGTCCTGAGAGGTATCCCTGTCCTGTCACCTTCATCCAGGCCACACCAGGGTCCTCCCCTGGTGATGCCCACACTGTAGAGAGCACTTGCAGGAAGCCCATCCATATTCTGGAAAAAAAGCCCAACTGGTCAGTCTTCCTTTTAGAAATTAGTCGTTATAGTAAAAGAAAAGCCGGACTGAAGGGAAGTGTGATGCCAAGTTGGGTGTAATTGGAGCCATAGAACTGGGCGCACTGAAGAGCTTGGGGCTCAGTTCCTTTCTCTGTTTCCTGAGAAAGAAACCCAGCCCAGACACACGTTTGGGATAGGTTAGATGTCTCAGCTATTTTGTGTAGTTCATCCTGAGGATTTTATTTTGGGATAAGTAGGGGAGGTGGGGGGGGATCAGAGAAGTGGAGGGAAAGACAGATGTTTTCCTACGCACAGTCCAGTGTCCGTCAGTTCCTGCCTTCCACAGTGAGCACAAGCAGCTGCCCAAGTCGTCCAGCTCCATCTGTGAAGTCCTCACATGTGTGGGCAGCAACGTGCTGGCCCCACGTCCAGCTCACCATGTGAACACAACACTGTTTGCAGTTTTTCCATTCACCATCTCCATGCCACCCCTGAGGATGTCAACACAGAGTCGCTACCACGAGTGGTCTTGTCCAATGCCTTCCTGGGCTGCCTTCCTGGGCTCCGTAGCAATCACAGAAGCCTAGAGGGCCTGGGCAGGCTCCACCATGGCCTGGCCTTGCCCAAGACCTACCCTGTAGCAATACCAAGTGCTATTACATAATTGATGGACAATTTACAATTTTATTTTTTTGATTATGTTTCTATATTGCTGTTAGATAAAGTGAAATAAAAATATTTCAGAAGAAGATATCCATATGAAGAAGAGACATTCACTCCCTTTTAGCTTGTCCCTGTTACAGCACTGAAAGGATGGATGCATGGATGGATGGATCAATGGTTTGATGGATGGATGATCACTAGATGGATGAATGATGTGAGCAATCATAAAGCTGTGGTGGGAGGAAAAGAACAGCATCACTATTCTTTTACCTGCCTTACCAAGACTGCTTAGTGGCTGGTACCATCAAACCCCTCAGGGAGCACCCTGGGAACTCAGGATGTGGAGTTAAGAGACACAGGTATTACTCTTGCTTTCGATCAGGGCTAGATCAGGTCAGTCCATTTTGTCAGCCTCTTACATACCTCTCACAGAAAATGGAGGTCAAGAAGTAAGTGCAGAGAGTCAAGAGGCCACTGTGCCAAGTTACTTCACTGTGAAGGGGAAAGAGAAATGTGAGCCGAGCAGGGATCAAAGTCAAAAAAATTATTATGGTGAAAATGCATTGCCAAGAATTATGGTATACATAAGTTCAAAGCTAAGGGGAGTATTCTGAGTATTCTGGGTATCTGAAGATGATCAGTGACAATGTCTTTTACTGTAATAAAACTTTTTTTGGTACTGGGGATTAAACTTGGGACCTTGCACTTGCAAGGCAGGCAGCAGAACTACTGAGCTAAATCCCCAGCCCTGTAATAAAATTTTAAATTTGAATATAGACCATATCTTATCACTCCTCATTGATCAAATGTTTGTGGTTATTTCTGTCAAAGATAGGACAGTGGGCCGGGGATTTAGCTCAGTGGTTCCACCGTCTGCCTTGCAAGCACAAGGACCCAAGTTCTATCCCGGGTACCAAAAAAAACCCTAAAAAACATGACAGTGTGTCCTCATCCACCTTATTCACAGGATCTGGCACTGTGCGACTTCTGGCTCCTCCCCAAAGTCAAAATGACCGTAAAAGGTAAATGTTGCACACTAATTAAGGACATGGAGGCAGCCAGGACAGTGCAACAAAAGACCCTCATGAAAGAGGACTTGTAGAACTGCTTCAGACAGTGGCAAGAACAGTGGGACAAGTGTGCTCCAGGAAGGGGGAGGACTCTGAGGGGGCTTCATGGCAATGTGGATTTTACTCTAATAAGTTTTTAAAAATATAAACATTTATCATATTTTTCATAGCAAGAAGAAGGCAAAGGTGCAGCCAAATATGTGCTGGCTGGTGCCGCAAGTGCTGGGAAAAGGAGATGAGGCCAGGACATTGCTCCTACTGTGTCTGTGAAGTAGGAATGAGTTGGAGGGTGGAGAGTTAGGAATTTGAGGAGGAAGAAGCATTAGAACAATTCTTTGAAGGTGGTGGAGTTTTCTGGTGGCATTGGCTGCCCGTTTGGGGTTTGCAGTCACAAATGGAGGCGGAGCCTGTGAGCACAGCCACCTGGTGTTTTCCAGCAAACTGGTTTTCCACACAGAGGCAGACCTGGCAGGTGGCAGGACAGTGGATCTGCCAGGCCACACCATGGAGGAGGATGGCAGAAGCAAAGTGTCTTGCAAAGGAGCCAGGATGGCGCTGGGCTCGGGAGCCAGGTTGAGAAGAGAGAGAGGAGAGAGGACAAGGAGGGGCGTTGCAGGGGCAGAGGGCGAGGTTTGGGGGTCTTGGGCCCCCTGGGGGTGCCAGAGTCAGAGCAGAGTGTCAGCTGGTGGCCAGCATGACAGGTACAGAAGCTGCCTTAAGAGATAGCTCCCTCTCCACGCACAGGCCCAGCTGCGGCTTCGAGCTGGAGGGGCTGGTCATCAGGCCTTCACAGAGGCAAGAAGTTAAGACTGTGGTCAGGCGGAGGGCCCTCAGCAAATCTAACCCGTGTCCTTCCAGGAAGAGGTGATTTGGACACAGACACGCACAGAGGGATGGCGTGTGCACCCACAGGGAGCAGCCTCACAGGAGCCAGCCCCAGTGCACCCAGGATTGTGGCTTCCAGAGTCTCGGGGATGTGAGCTGCTGCTGGAGCCAGGCTGGTTTGTCACCCTTGGAAAACCAGTCATCTTACCTTTCCTCTGTGTCCCACACCTCCTAGCATCTACCTTGGAAGCACATGGGTCCCTTCTGCTCAACCTGCCTTCACCAAAAGCCAGTCCGGGACAGACCCAACCACAGCCAACCTGCACCAGCGCTAGGCCTTGCCTTAAGGCCACCTGAGCTGGCAGCCCTGACTTGAGCCAGCACCTGGAAGGCAACAAGAGGATGCGTTAGGCTCGAGGAGAGATGACAACTTCTGAGGCACTTTAAGCCTCTTCCTTTGTGCTTTCAGTGTGCTTAACCCTGGCGCTGGAATACATGACATGATGTACGTGAACCTCTTCCCGGATGGAGGCGAAACCAGGCCAATGCGAGGCCAATCCTTGTCTGCAGCGACACCTGCTGGATTCCACCCGCACTGGCCGCGGGCTGCTTTCTCCTGAGAGGGGACAGGGCACACCCTCTGAGGGCACGGCGGGTGGGTGCCCCCAGTCCCGTGCTCTGGGGACAGGCACCACACTGCCACAGTCCGTGCCGAGCCCAGGTCAGAAGCACCAGGATCACAGCTCGGAGAGAGAAGGAAAGTGGGAAGGGAGAGGAAGGCGGGAGGCGGCCAAGACAGAAGGGTCCAAGAAAAGCGAAAGTCAGGTTGGGTACGTTTGTAAAGATGATTGGAAATTAGTCCCAAATCTGGGACTATGAAATAGGTTTCCTTCCGGCACTGCCCCATCTTTAAATAATGTTCCGGCCAATCCTAAGAGCAGCCTCTGAGCTTGGGGCCCTGGGACAGGAGGACCCCGGCCCCTCATCCCGCACCAGTTCGGTAGCTGCCTGCCGGAGAGCAGACTCGCACTGCCGCCCTGTGCCCTGTGCCCTGCGCCCTGCGACCTCCCTCTCCCCCGCGCTCCCTGCTCGGCCCGTCGGTGCCAGGGCAGCCGGAGCCGAGGACGCCCCAGGAGTCCAAGCCTGGCTTCTCTCTAAGGAAGAGAGGATCCCGTTGAGGACAAGTCAGCCGCTCCTGTTTCCAGCGGACTCACTCGCGCGCTCGTCAGTGACTTCGGTGGAACCGGGTGAGCCAGGCCCTTGGCACAGACGCCTTCCTCGCCTGCGGGGGGCGCTGAGGAGGGCGCCGGAGCTGCGCGGACCGGGAATCTTCTGAAAGGGCCGAAGCTCGGCTCCTGCGGAACCCCGACGTCACTGCAGCCGCTGGGACCCGACTCCGGGCAGCCGATGGCGGCACAGACTCTGGGAACCTGGCCCCAGCGGGGTGACATCCTCCACTTCGAGGGTCAAAGCAAAGCCGCACGAAGTAGTCTGGGGGCGCAGACGGGCAAACAGAGGCTTGCCGAGATGAAACGGGGCTCAGAACGATAGCGTGCAAATCGTTGAAAGAGGCGCGGCCTTGTATCGTCCCCAAGCCGAGGGGGGACAGACCAGACACAGCAGCGAACGCCCTGGGCTCGGGGGGCCGTAGCCATGGGGCGGGTGGGTTTCCTGCTTCAAAGAAACCGGTCCTGGAGCTGAGGCTCGCCAAGAGCGCCAGCGCTGGAGCAGGCCGGCCACCTCCCTCTGCCTTCGCCTGCACTGTCCTTGCCCCAGGCCCAGCAGAGGTCCGAGAAGTCAAACCCGCGGCGGCTCTCTCCCCGCCTAGAGCAAAGGCAGGGCATTTTGAGACCTGCCACTCACTGCGCGGAGCGAAGGGAATCCCAAGCTGCCCTCTGCCGGAGAAACTGGGAATCTGTTTTCACGCAGTTTTGGCAAACAGCTCAGTGGAGCCCGCGGCTGCCGCCCGGTCTGGGGGAAATATTCTAAGTTCGCTCAAAACCCCAAACCTCCAGTTGGAGCACGGTGTCACAGTCCGATCTAATTCAACGAATACTTTTAAGTCTGGGTCTTGTGCCGACCCTGGGGAACAAGGCTACCAGAGGCTGAAACAGAACGCTTGGGCGTCCTTCGCGCCGCCTGTGTCAGTCTCTGCTCTGGCACCGCACCAGGCCTTTGTAAAGAAGATTAAGTGGCCATTATCAGCCCAGAAACAGTGGTGCGTTTTTACATCTCTGCTTCCGTAGATGCTTTCATTCTAATTTTTCAAAGCTGTGCTTCTGGATGGATACAGGCATTCCCCGGCCCAGTGAAGCCCCTACGGCTCTCTTTCGTCCTCGCCCATCAGACCTGCGGCGTCTCCGGATCTCATTGCACCTGTCATCGCCCAGGTTGGAGCCAGGTCTGGGCCCCTGCCTTCTTGCAGCGGAGGCCTGGCGCCCCCTGCAGGAGGGACGGAGCTATCCACCCTGCATTTGCCTCTGGTCTTCCCCGGCTCACGCCCACCTCCGCCTTCCGTCTGCCCATCCCGGACAAAAAGATTCCACACACAAAAGGCCGCCTGCTCCTGGGAACTTCTCCCTGGGCAGACGCGTCTCTACTCTACTCTTATCTTCACGAGCTCGCCTGGTTTTGGACTCACTATGTAGCCTATGTCCGACTCAAACTTGCAGAGATCCTCCTGCCTCAGGCTCCCGGGTGCTGGGATTACAGCTGTTACAGCTGTGAGCCACCATGTCTGGCTTAGTAAGTGCTTTTATTTTAAAAAGCTTTCTTTTCCTTTTTCTTTCTTGCCTTGTTGTTTTGGATTTCTGTTTGGTTTGATTTGGTTTTGGTTTGGTTTTTTGAGACAGTGTCTCACTATGTGTTTCAGGCTGGCCTTGAACTCGTGGTAATTCTCTCACCTCAGCCTCCTAAGTGGTGGGACCACAGGTAAAAAAGGTTTCTTGAGCTTAATATGAAGCACACACACACACACAGTTTGTGACCCCCTTTTGTCTCACCATGTTTATCCATAACCTTCCTCGGCTTCCTGCAAACTTAGCACATGAAGACATGGCTTTCTTGGGTCTTTAGTCTTCATTCTCAAAGGCTTTCGTGCTAGGTGAGCTTTGGCTAAATAAACCTGTGGTGCTTTTCTCTTGCT